AAGTACGGGCTGATGTCCTTGATATTGAAAGTAGCCGATACTCCATAATCTCCCGGAAGGTTAATCTTGTAGGCATTGTCGTTGATTTTCTCTATGACTTCAAACGGGCCATCGGCTCTTGGCAGCAACTTTGACTTGCGTTTCGTGGGGAAACGCTCTTTCCGAAGGTGAATCCAAACAAGGTCTCCTGGTTGGAAGTGGACGTTCTTCCTTCCTCTGTTGATGCGTGCGCTTACCTTCTCGTTCATAGCCTCAATCTTCTCTCGAACCCTGGCGTGAAGGTCTTGGATTTCCTTTGACCGCTTGTCTGCTTCCCAACTGTATTTGGTTTCCGTGATGATCGGATCAAGTTCAAGTGGGGTCAAGGGGTTCGAACCATAGACCACTGTGAATGGGGATAGTCCGGTAGTCTTGTTCGGGGTTCGGTTGTAGGCAAACTCGGCGTGCGGAAGAAGCTCCTCCCATTGCTTGATGTTCTTCTTGATGAGGACTCGTAAGAGTGTTCCAAGGGTGCGGTTGGTGACCTCGGTTTGGCCATCAGTGATAAGTCCGTTTCGTTCTTATCATTTACATCATATTCTAAACGTTATTGCACGTAAATAGTATTTAATCATCTCATAAAATGTGGTTTTAATGGATAAAACTCTCATTTTCGTTCTAAGAGTCATAAAATGGGATTCCACATGAAATCATCATAAATCATCCTTTTTTGTTCAAGTATTTGAGAAAAGGGGAATAAATCATCAAAGGATCAAGATTCGGGCTTGAACGAGCTTCCGGGAGGTCAAAAACAGTGTTCGGGGCCAAAACGGAGCGAAATTGGGCCAAAATCACGAAACAGCCGCGAAGCCCAACGGACCAAGGCCTTCAGGCGTCCAACTTGGACGCTTGGGAGTTGGACGCCTTGGCTGGATTGCAGCCCAAGAATGACACGTGGCAAAATCTGGTTGGCCGGGACAGCTCAGGCGTCCAGATCTGGACGCTTGGACTTGGACGCCTTGGATTCGTTCCTATAAATACAGCGTGATTCTCCCCATTCAAGACATCACTATCACTCCCTTTCTCGGGAATTGAGCTCTATATTCCAGTTCCGATTATTAGTTTAGTGTTCTAGTAGTTTTAGAATAATTTTTGGAGAAATTCTACTCCCGATCTGTTCTGTTCCGCTTTTACGGAAGTTGTAAGTTCTCTTTACTTAATAAAATGCTGTTTTAATTTACGTTTGCATAGTATGAGTTAGGGTCCGGATCTCTGGGTCCGGACTAGTTTGGTTGTTTATTTTTGATGTTAAATTAATGTTGGAATGGTTAGTCTATTGTTCTTGCCTTATTTGGTTAATTAAACTCGAAAGATTTAACTGGCCATTTATTGAGAAAATATTGTCTGCCAAAAGGCTACGATATTCAAGAACAACGGATTAAGTACAAATCTAGAAATGGATGAGTAGTAATAGGAATATTATTATTCCAATTGTTAATTTAATATGATAAAATAGATCCAAATGATGTCCAGATCCTAGGTCCAGATCTGCACTCATACTATGTAAACTAAATTTATTATTTTTACTCTGCTCCCTTTTTATTCGTTCCGAGAAGACTTTCATAAACCAATCCTAATCTTCGTCTAGTTAGAGTAATTAAACTAATTCCCTTCGTCCACTCCTCGAGAGATACGACACTCAGAGAGAAAACTAACCCTTTACTGGGAAGGTTTACTACCCGAAAAACTACAACTGTCATATGGCGTCGTTGCCGGGGAGTGGCACGACATTAGTTTAATTTCTTCTGATTAGCTTGGGTGAAGATTGGTTAGAACGATCTTCTCACTTCTTTTTCACCAACCACCCGTAATAATTATTATGGATAACTCTAGTGGTTATTACGGTCTGCCTTCTTTCTACCAATCACCCAACCGCCCTCCGTACCAAACCCATTCACCTTACAACCCACATCAAAACACATATGATGATGACTTCCAAGTCAACAATGGGTCAGACTACTATCCCTACCATGAGGAAACACCATATGATACCCCGTCTAGAAACTTTGGATATTCTCCGTACCAAGATTCTGATGGGGATAATTATTATGAACCTCATGGTGACCAATATGACTATGACCAATTTGGGCCTATGTGCGACGATCAACCTGATCCACTCGTCGAAGAAATCCTAAGATTAGAACAGAAAATCTTCTATTTCGACGAACTTTTATTCACTGAAGGCTCCTGGTATGAACCACCCTACTCCCGTGACTACACTTTGTTTGCTGAAGAGCAAATTGAAGCAAACAAGGTGGCAATTCGAGAAAGAGCAAAACTTCTTGAGTCAGTCCGGAAGGAAAAGGAGTTTGAGAGGAGATTATGCAAAGGATCAGAATTGATGCAGAAAATGCTGGATGACTTTCAAAGAGAGAGACTAGAAGCTGAGGATAAAGTTGATAAAATAGTCAATGATCTCCGCAAGGCTATTGAGCTTAAACGCTCCCTCCAACCTCAAGATCCACAATTGGAGGAAGTTAATGCTCAAAAAGAGGCTCTAGAACCTAAGACCAACCCTGAACCCATCAACCAACAGGTTCCAGTTCTAGAAGATTCACCCAGACTAACACTACCACAGATACCCGAGAGCATAACAACTCTCGCTAGGGCTACTGTGGTGATGTTACCTGAATACCCTCCTAGCCAAGTCCTAACCAGCATAGTCGTACATGAGATGGAACCAACTGGGGGACCTGACTCAGAACCACCTACGCTCATTCAAGAAAAGGAGGAGGAAGTTTTGCCTACGGCAATAAACGACCATCTCCTTAATTGTGTTGAAGACACACCTCCGGAGGAACCTGTTCTGGAGGAAGTAGAGCCCACTACCTACCCCCAAGATTCCAACGTTCAAGAGTCAGAGGAGGAATCTATAGACGGAGAAATACCTAGCACAAAGGAACCAATAACGTCTATAGATAATCATGCTTCATCAGAAGACTTAGATCAAACTTTCTTTGACTCCCTACTTGACGGGTGTGACTATGTCTGCCCGAATGATGGTTGGAGCCAAAATAGTTGGGATGAACTTCTGGTAAGTGACACTGAAGACTCATCCATGGGGAAAAGCACGGTCATAATCATCAAACCAAAAATGAATGGTCATCCTGTTGAAGACAAGGAAGAAATCAATTTCGCATTGAAGGCTAACGATGTGGATCAACTGAGGAGACTTCCGCCACCACCCACCTATACAAAGTCTCCTCCATATATCCTGTTGCCACCAAGCCGCGGGGATGAGTCAAGGATCATGGACCTTGACCGAGCAACAAATCAAACAAGGTGGCATCAGAAGAGAGTCAAAAGGGCCAAACTTTATGACTCTCGAATCGGAAGGTCGCGGAAAAAGTGGGTGAGCGTCAAGCTACGGACATTAAAGAAGCGCTTAAACGGGAGGCAACCCATCATTCAGATAATTAAATTATGCTTATTTATATTTTACTTGCCGCACCAGTAGGGGGCAAGATTTTACTCGTTTTACTTTTTCTGTTCTACAGATGGATGTTGCTTGGATGATTCCGCATGGAAACCGCCGCACATTACAGAACCTGGAAGAGCTCCCCTTGCACTCAGAAGAAGCAAGGAAGAAGTTTCTCACTTGGGGGAACACGAAGATGCTCCAGCCTCCCATGGTGCTAGACCCTGCCTACCTGGATGAACTAGGGCACTGGCAGGACATTGACGAGTTTCTGTACAACCCAAAATGGAGGATCCTGCTGTTCCTGCAAGCACCAGCAAGCCTGGAAGTCACCATCGAGTTTCTTTGCTCTCTCCGCTTCCAAAATGACGGAGAGGAAGTAAAGTCAACAGCTGAAGTCACCTCCACCACCAAGGTCACATTCACTCTGATGGGTCGACTGCTGAGCCTTACCGTGGCAGACTTAGGGTGGCTGATTGGTCTTTACACACTAGACGAAACGCGGAGCTTGGCCTTTGCTAATCTGCCCGACCAGTTGGATCCGGAGTTCGATGTTAAGAAGTTCTGGCAAGCTCACGGGTATGGACGATATCACAGTGGAGCAAGCATAGCTAGGAATTGGGTGCGTCCGTCTTGGAGAATTTTACACCATGCATTGACTCACAGCTATTTCGGTCGTTCTCATGGCTCTGACGTGGTGTTCGATTCTGATATGCTATTTTTCTGGAGTCTGGAAGCACGCGTACCAGTCAATCTGGCAACTTTTGTGGCTCGATTCCTATTTGCCCAATCAACTTGCAACCACCAGTTTGTCTTGTGTGGACCAATGGTTACTCTTTTGGCCCGGGGATTATGCATGACAGTCCCCAATGTTCTCCTAGAAGCCGCGAGCATGTTCCGACCGTCGACAAGGTATCTGACCCAGATTGCTTATAATAAGGAAGACAAGGAGGCACGACCCAGAAAGCAGCAAACAATTCCCATGACCCTTCGCGAGCTTTCACAGGCTATGTTTGCATTCCAAGATTCTATAGACTCTCGCTAAAGGAGCATGGAGACGCTCCTTCTCACGTAGCAATGGCAAGTGGAGGAAATACTTGAATACACCCGGGAACAAGGAACAAAGAAGGCTGAGCATGGGGCAAGTCCTAAACAAGGCAAACGTCAGAGATAGTGAGATCCCTAATTTCTTAATACTGCATTCAGAACATCATTTTTGGATATTTATATGGTCTTATTTTGGAATTTCACATTATGACTCTTAAACCCGTTTTGAGAAATTTTATGCATTATTTCATATTTACATGTTATGGTCATCTATTATTTCAATCTTTATCTTTGAATTTTATAAGTATTGAGATAACTTAGTAATTGAATGAGGACATTTCAACCATTAACTCTAATTCTGAAACACTTTTAACCACGAGGGCGTGGTTCCGTTTAAGTGTGAGGAGGTAAGAGTTCGTGGTTGAAATGATCTTTTTAGGGATTGTTTTGTCTATATATTTGTAGGAAAAGATTTTATAAAATAGTCATCAATTTTATTTGTTTGATTAATTACTCTTTAGTTATCACCCGTGGAAATTGGAAATTTTTAAAATTTTTGTCAAACTTTTTACTCTAACCTTTTGGGAATGTTTTCTAAAATGATTTAGGATAAATTCACAATTTATTTCGAGTTTTTTTTAGATCAATTAATTTTTTAAGTGATTTATTGAAAATCTTTTTGCTAATGCTCTTATGAGTATTAGTTGTTTCTCAAAGAGAGTTATTTTCTAAGTATAAGGGGTGATTTTTCAAGGCATACTTTGGTGAGACCGAGATTCTTGTTTTAGCCAAAAAGCAGTTGGTTCTAGGTCAACTGATGAGGCGTGGTGAGTATGCCGAAAAGCACGTGGTTCTATATTGCGTGATGAGGCCTTTTGAGTGTTTGAGTCAAAAAGCATGCGGTTCTATGTCGTGTGATGAGACTTTCCAGAGTGAATATCCAAAAAGCTCGTGGTTCTATGTCACGGGATGAGGTTATAAATTTTTCTCGTGTCAACATGACAAAGTTATGCCAAAGAAAATTAAACCCTTACACTTTGACAAATACTTTTGCAAGAACATGTTTTCCAATTTAGCCATTAAAAAAAATTATTTGATCTTTAGGGTACTCTTACAAATGTAATTATCCCAAAGAAAGTTTGGAAAATTTTGGTTGTTTAGGTTGGTGTAAAAATATTGGTTTGACAAAATTCTTTTACATTTCTAACGATATGGGTGAGAATCTAAAAGTTCATTATTCTTAACAAAGAGGTTGATGACTATCTTATTTCTTCTTTCCTTCATAATATGTAGCTTAAACTTTGCCTCTGCAATTATTAATTTGCCTTTATACTTGTAATTATTCAATTTGTTGCTTGAGGGCAAGCAACGTTTAAGTGTGAGGAATTTGATAAGTCCGTTTCGTTCTTATCATTTACATCATATTCTAAACGTTATTGCACGTAAATAGTATTTAATCATCTAATAAAATGTGGTTTTAATGGATAAAACTCTCATTTTCGTTCTAAGAGTCATAAAATGGGATTCCACATGAAATCATCATAAATCATCCATTTTTGTTCAAGTATTTGAGAAAAGGGGAATAAATCATCAAAGGATCAAGATTCGGGCTTGAACGAGCTTCGGGGAGGTCAAAAACAGTGTTCGGGGCCAAAACGGAGCGAAATTGGGCCAAAATCACGAAACAGCCGCGAAGCCCAACGGACCAAGGCCTCCAGGCGTCCAACTTGGACGCTTGGGAGTTGGACGCCTTGGCTGGATTGCAGCCCAAGAATGACACGTGGCAAAATCTGGTTGGCCGGGACAGCTCAGGCGTCTAGATCTGGACGCTTGGACTTGGACGCTTTGACTTGGACGCCTTGGATTCGTTCCTATAAATACAGCGTGATTCTCCCCATTCAAGACATCACTATCACTCCCTTTCTCGGGAATTGAGCTCTATATTCCAGTTCCGATTATTAGTTTAGTGTTCTAGTAGTTTTAGAATAATTTTTGGAGAAATTCTACTCCCGATCTGTTCTGTTCCGCTTTTACGGAAGTTGTAAGTTCTCTTTACTTAATAAAATGCTGTTTTAATTTACGTTTGCATAGTATGAGTTAGGGTCCGGATCTCTGGGTCCGGACTAGTTTGGTTGTTTATTTTTGATGTTAAATTAATGTTGGAATGGTTAGTCTATTGTTCTTGCCTTATTTGGTTAATTAAACTCGAAAGATTTAACTGGCCATTTATTGAGAAAATATTGTCTGCCAAAAGGCTACGATATTCAAGAACAACGGATTAAGTACAAATCTAGAAATGGATGAGTAGTAATAGGAATATTATTATTCCAATTTTTAATTTAATATGATAAAATAGATCCAAATGATGTCCAGATCCTAGGTCCAGATCTGCACTCATACTATGTAAACTAAATTTATTATTTTTACTCTGCTCCCTTTTTATTCGTTCCGAGAAGACTTTCATAAACCAATCCTAATAATCGCCTAGTTAGAGTAATTAAACTAATTCCCTTCGTCCACTCCTCGAGAGATACGACACTCGGAGAGAAAACTAACCCTTTACTAGGAAGGTTTACTACCCGAAAAACTACAACTGTCAATCAGTTTGTGGGTGGCTTGACGTACTAAACTTCAGTTTAGTACCCAATTTTCTCCAAAGAGTCATCCAGAAATGACTAAGGAATTTGGTGTCTCTGTCCGATACCATGCTTCGAGGAACGCCATGGAGTTTGACTATCTCTCGAAAGTAGATATCTTGAACTTGTGAAGCATCACAAGTGGTAACACATGGTACGAAAGGGGCCATCTTTGAGAAACGGTCCACTACAACCATGATCGAATCTTTGCCCCGCTGCGTCCTCGGTAGCCCGGTGATGAAATCCAAGCTTATATCTTCCCATGGTGCACAAGGAACGGGCAGTGGCATGTGCTTTCCTTGGGGCAGTGAGTGACTCTTTGCTAGGTGGCATGTGTTGCAACGCTTGATAAATTGCTCGACGTCTCGTTCCATCTTTGGCCAGTGGTAATGCTCCTTCATCATCATGTGAGTCTTGTCGACTCCATAATGACCAGCTAAGCCTCCTCCGTGGACTTCTTCAATGAGGGTTTCGCGCATACTGCATTTCGGGACGCACAATTGGTTACCACGGAAGAGATAACCGTCTTTGACAAGAAAATCTCCATAGGGCCGAATGAGGCACTTAGAATAAGT